TAAGTAATGTTTTTAAATTTAGAGTTCAAGACTATCACTATTTTTGTAGCTATGGATTTGTCATATGTGAAGTTTACCATTAAAGTATTCGATGCGCCATCAGGATTTTCCCTTGTTCCCATTATTCTTTTCTCCCATTTTTGAACTTTACCCTGCATTGACATATTGGCTACACGATAAGGCCTCTGTTGTTACTTTATCTACACTTTGTACAGAGTATTGTATTCCGCGCGCAGTCTCGGATAAGGGGCTTGGAAATTGTTTTACGTGACACGTTATAACGAACGGGAGAGGACTTGTACGCGCTTTGAATAACTCCCAGCTTGAGGAATCAGGCCTAGCCCATTTTGTTTCATGGAATTGTCCTTTTGATTACTCTTTCGGACTGTGTATTAGGGAAATTACTTTGAGAATTAAAGAGCGGACGCCAATTTCATGTTTCGGTTGCTTCTCGCATGGTCGATTTTAGCAATGTGTCGCTTTATCCCCCGAACTATAGATTTAAATGTTTGTTTGTGAACTGAATCAAATTAGAAGTAAACTAATAACATTTATTTACAAGCAGATAGTAAAACTAGAACTGCTATTTTCTCCCGTGATTAGAAACCAGGATTTTTTTGGTTAGTAACGAAATTCTACGCCATGCACATACTATAGTACATATATATACTTACTAAAATATAAAGCTGAAGGGTTTTTATGTTTGTTTGAACGCCCGAATCTCAGGAACTACTGGCTCGAATTGAGAAAATGTTTTTGTGTTAGTTGAGGAACGCTATAAAACCTCGTGGTGTATGCGGGCTAATAGGAGCGAAGAAGCAATGGGACATGTAAAGGAAACAGGAGAACATTTTCATATTTTTGGGCTTCCGATGCGTACGCTGCGAAAACGGTTCAAGATACCCAAAAATATCTTTGGAAGAATAATTCCTTTTTAAATAATCTAAAACAAAGACAGTATATGTCTACCTTTGAAGATTAACTTACAAGAACGACAGGATCCGAAGGATGGGTCGCGGGCGACGCGACGCGTCCGATGTCGATGTCGGATAGCAGTTCAAATTTATAAACAAGAAGAGGTTTTCAAAAACAAATTTGGATGCCCAAAGTAACTATTCTACGCAGACGAAGTCGCTGGCACAGCTAGTTTATAATAAGACAGCGAAAAATAATAAGACTGAGGTATCACCTTTAAACAAGTGAACACTCGTAACTGTCTGCCATAATCTGTCATTAAAATGCACCAAAAGCCTTGTTAGGCTGTGTTTTATGATCTTCTCGTGTTACTCCCTACCAGAACAACAAGTCTCGAATTTAAAATACATTCTCATCAGTCATAACAGCTGCGACAAATAATACAATAAATAGCTAATAACTTATATATATAGCTGAAGAGTTTGTTTGTTTGAACGTGCCAATCTCAGCTACTACTGGTTCGAATAGAAAAAATGTTTCGATTATCGAGCACGGCTATGAAACATCAGGCTTCAACTAATAAGAGTGTTGAAACAGAGTTGAATCTTCCCCGTTTTTTCCACAAAATGATTGAATGATGAAAGATGATGAAAGATTATTTATCTTTGAAAGTTTCCGTTGCGTGCACAGCAAAATTGATTCAAGATACCCCAAATAATATGTATGTAGGAATGATTCCTCTATAATTTATTTTAAAAAATGTCCACGACAGTATGTGTCTATTTTAAAATAAACTTGCAAGAACGATGTGACGCGGATGATATCGTGGGTAACAGCTGTAATTTTTTGTTTGCATAAACAAATGTTGATGCCCAAAATAAGTGTTCTACGCGAACGAAGTCGCTGGCACAGCTAGTGTAGGTATATAGCAAGTCCTACGAAGCATGTCTAATGACAGTCCTAAGCTGAACGTATAACAGTGATAAGTTATAATGGAGCATATTAGTCCAAGTTAGAGTTCGCAGGTGGACACAACGCACCAACTGACTCACTAAGTTCTAACTTTAAATCCACACCTGTGACAGGGAGTAGCTACGTGCCGCCAACTTGGATGCACTGTGGTACAGCGTATGGACACGCAGTGGTCTAAGTCTTTTCTTTACATTATGTTAAACACAATTATGTAAATTTACTCATCACTTTATTGAGGTCGTTCCGTTTGAATGGATACAAAAAAAAGTAGTTTCCCCCAAGACTGTAATTGTTCTATATTTTATTAGTATGTTGTTTAATTTTCCTCGTTTTCAAGTCTCACTGTGTCCCCTTCAAACCTTTCGGTTTGCTCACAGATTATTATTATTTTTTGATATCTTCTATAATTTTGTCCTCCCAATTTATTCCCAATGGAGTAATTATAATGATTTGTTTCCTCATCTTTTTGTATCTGTATAGAGGAAGTTATAGAAGATATCAAAAAATAATAAGAATCCCTCCCCAACCCCCAAATTTTTGGGGGGCCCCCCAGTGAGACTTGATACCAAATCTACTGGCTCAAGGAGGAAATGGGTAAAATAGTTTTTAAAATTATCAATTATATTCCATTAAAAATTTATGATCTTTATTGAGGAGAAGAGGTTCCCTTTTGGGAAGATGACGGTGCACCATACCCAAACCATAAAAATGGGATTTGAGGAGGCTCTTCAAAGATTTTGTTGATTTGTAAGTTTTGAACATTTATTTATATTTAAATTACTAACATATTCTAAGCTTAGGTACTAACAAAATCTGTTTAATGTAATATATCAACAAATCATGTATAAAAAAAGAAATAAAAGTAGTAGAGCTTAGTAGAACTTAAAATATAAAATTAAATTTGATTGTCAGAGTGGAACTGGTTCCCAAACTTATCGAAGGTGTATAACTTGAGAAGTTATCTCTTTAGAATTGAATGTTAGATATTTACGTACTGTTTGTATTATAGTCTATGGTGAAGTTAGCCAGAACACTACGTTATGCTCATTGAGCAACTTGTTCTTTGCTGTATCACTACGTCATTTTGTAATATCCTTCAACATTATTTTTAAGGAATTAGAGTCATTTTCTAAAAAGTATTTACTAGTATTTACCGCTTATTAAATGTATGTAACATGTTCATTTTTGTGGTTAAAAGTTAAAACACGTGTTGGTTGATTTTGACGAACTCGTTGGTCAAATGGTAGTAATGTTTGGCTAGTAGTAGTCTGTGGATTTCCTATATCCAAAACTCAAATAGTTCGACAGAACATAATGTTTTAATGTAATATGGTTAGGGTATTTATGCCTCTCGCCTCTATCATAAAAAAAAGATTATTGTATGAAACTCTTGAAACTTTGAAAACTGAATATAAAACAAATGAAGGGCGAAGATCAAGTTAGGTGAATGTCTTTAATTATTTATTTTACTCTTGTGTAAACGTTGAAAATATTCATTCATTCGTTTGCAATTTAGGGTCAATTTCACCCAATCAAGGTATAAAGAGTTCAGTGGATTATATCATGCCGTGTCGCTACACGGTTGGATGAATTTCGGGGCTAGCAGCTTAGGATTTTTTTTAATTTTCATACAAATATTCTACACGAACTCTAAAATAAATCTAACTATATTAATTTGATAGACAATGTGTTTCTTATTATTATTATTTTTTCTACAATTGGTTATAAAATTGAAACTCTGTCGGGTTAAATACCGATGTCTTAAATAAAAAAAAAACAAAATTTTATCACCATTGTTATATTTTCGAATATTTTAAGTAAAAAATAGATGAACATCGCATCATGTTTAGATGTTATATGGTTGGAGTATTTCACATTCCATCAATTGAACCAAATGCTTGTTTATCCTGCTTTTGTAATAAAATTCATCAATAAAACATTTTAACGGTTTAAAACGCGATATATTAGTTAAACTTATCTCAAAATTATTTTTAACTTCGGCCCGACGTTTCGGATGCTTTGCAGAAGCCGTGGTGAACGAACGACGAACTTTCAAATAAGTTTAACTAACATATCGCGTTTTAAACCGTTAAAGTGTTTTATTTAAATGTGTACTGCAATATAACATGCTTAAATTATAATATAGTTAAAATGAGAAATAGCCACGGCAAATGGTCGTTGGACTACTCGACTACCCTTCCTTTTATAACATACATTACCTAATATTGCTTTAAGCGCTAAAGATTGAATCCCAGTGAAAAATACATACGAGTAGTTTCGAGCGGGCTGACCAGAGAAGTCTGGTCAAAGTCGTGCCTGTAAATAAAAATGAATCAGTGAAACGGACGCAAAATTGTGGCCACTTCATACCCGTACATATTTACAAACACTTTTATAATATTTAAAAGCGTAAACCGATGAAAACGATATTAAGAAAAATATATTAATGAATAATGATTAAAGAAAATCAAGTGCATATTAAACAGAATTTTCAGGACATTAATTAATTTAGCCTAGTTCGACAGCCCTACAAAATTATCACTCGTTCAACCGCGAAAACTGCTAATCAAATTAAGAGCGTTTACGAACATTTGTTGTACGAATTAAGCTTTTCAGTGTTATTTAACAAGTAATTCTCAATACAGTTTAAAGCGTTTTTTATCTTATATAACGTATTTAAAATTCGTTGTCGTAATTACAAAGTATGAAGAGATTAATTTAAAACAAAACACTTGTATCGATATTATCGTTACAAGTCACGTAGTAACGATAAAATCAGTTAATTCATGAGAATTTACATAATTGATTGATAACAGGACGTTTTTCCTTGGACGTTATATTTGAGTATATACTTTGCTCCCGTTTGCATATTATTTATTATAATATGAGGCTGCCAGATGCAGAAATAAGTACTCGTAATAAAAATTGCCCAGTGGCCCAGTGTAATGGCCGAGAAGAAGAATATGTACATTACATATTAAGCAAGTTATGTATTTTTGATTTTATCTACCATCTCCCGATAAGAAATAATCATGATTTCATTATCAATATTTAGATATAGTATATAATCTTAGGAGTAGTAATTGCTTGGTAGTTAGTGAGAGGTAGCGAAAATGGCTGCGAAAATTGTTTTCCTCTTATTAGTAGTAATCTGCCAAGGTATTTTTTAATTTTATATTTTGTTACTTTGATAATATATATATTAATTCAATATATCTATCAATTTAATATATAGATTAAATATCTCATTTAGACTTACAAAAATTAAATTTTCAAAATATGTTAATTTAATATATTATTAAATATATTTATAATGCGATCGTTGAAATTATTTTATAAAAAGACTATAAATAACTGAGGATTTTCTGGTGGCAAACTTAAATTTTCATGAGGTAATTGCATCTTTAAGTTCTAAAATCGTTACAGTTCAGACAATACATTATCTTTTTATGCTTACTTAGAAACGGATAAATTTAATTACTTGTTTAATTAAAGCAGGGTTGTGCTAATCTTGCAACTACAATTTCAGCGCTGGCGGTAGAAGAACGCCAAGAACCAGATCTTAAGGTCCGTTACATATCAAATCCGCTGATTGGAAGGGCCCTTAGTATTCCAAAACGTCTCGAAGATACACAAGTCAACTGCCATGCCACCTACCCAGATGGGGTCATGTACGAAGTCTACCCGAATGCTAGGCATCCAAATTTGGATAAAGGTTTAGGTATGGTGGGACCCAGTATCAGTTTCAAGGACTGTTCCATCATCATAAGAAACGCCGGGACGGAAGCTAGTGGAACATATCAGTTAATGTCAACAGTGAGAAGAAGTACCGACAGTGCGATGGTTGTAACACGGCAAAACTTCATTGTGGAAGTTGTTGTGCAATCCACTTAAACACTGCTATTCTTAAATGTTCTTCAAATTGTATTAATAAATATATTTTTGGTAACTGGTGAGTACTTATTAAAAAAAAATCTCAATTCAGCGGACAATTTCAAAAGTTCGAAAAATTATCGACTTATAATTAAATAAGAAATAAAATACTGTCTATAGTTTACGCGAGTAGTAAAAATTTAAAAAAAAACCTTTAACGGTTTAAAAATTTATTTTTTTTTTTATTTTTTTTTTATATTTTTTTTTTTTCCCTGGATCTAAAATTAAGTCCACGAGTTTTGTCTATCGAATAACTTTTTTTTTGTTCTTGGTAAGCACGTAAGAATAATGTTATATTAAATTTAGTCAGGGTTAGTAGTTCTTGCAACACTTGAAAGGATATAAGTTTTACAACTCCTTTAACTTCAATGGTTGTTTGTTTTAATCCCTGGGCAGTGTGTCAAATATTTTTTGTTGGGAAAACGAACAAATTATAAAATCTTCTTCTGAATTTATTTTAATATACATATTAGTATTATGATCATATTAAATTAACCCTTTACTGTTTATGGCAACTGAGCTTCAATAAAATAGTTTTGTAAGAGAATTTATTAAAGCCATATAACCCCTAGATAACTTTCAGGCTGACTAAAATTACTCGCGATAATATTAAACTGTTAAATTCCCCGAAGTATCGAGTTAGTGATGTCACGAGTTATGCACTGCAGAAGCTGAACTGTGATACGACAGCAAGATAATCTGGCTTGTTAAATAAATTATAATATTCAGTTTCTTTCATATAATTAATAGAACACAAAAAATTTGTTAAACCTAATCGTTTTTTCTTTGTGACATAAAAGCCAGAATAGGTCGTCGACAGCACGTCTTATTAAGATTAGATATCCACCTTGCCATTAATAATTGTCATGTCTGTCCACGTCTGTCATAAAAATTACACTAAGAATCTTTTGTTTTGTATAATTATGAATAATGGACAGGAGTAAATGTTATTGTGAACTTTGGGTTAACTTGAAAAAAGGTTGCTGTTAGGGAAAATAAGTACTGGTTGTAGTTTACGCAAAAAGTAAAAAAATAAATGTAAAGTACAACGTGAATTATATAAATTAATTTTATTACATATTTTAACTATGGTCCGACGCAAAGCAAAAATCAAAAAATCCGATGTCTAACTAATATATTTTAGAGTAATTTATCATCAACATAAATTAAAAAAAAATTCGCGTTTAAAATATTAAAATTGATTCATTTTAATATTTTAAACGCGAAATCTTTTTTACGATTAACCATTATTTCCGACTCACAAACAGGTAACTCAACCCAGAAAAGTAAACATAAATTAATATAGCTTTGAAATTGCTTACGTTAACATACTAAGAATTTACTCGGAGAGAATTCTTCGAAAGAGTAAATGTAAAAGTGTCCGACGGAAAATGGCAATTGAAATGACTGGAGTTAAAAGAATCGAGCTTAGTAATGAACTATTCAGTTGTGTAAATTTTATACTATTCATAGTAAACTGACTCAGTCGGGCACAATGCATACTGACGAGGTATTATCGCGTTACTGTTACACCTACCTGTATATCGCGTACTGAATTTCGAGCTTACAACTTGGAGGGGAATCTTTTGTTACGCCCATATAATACATTTTGTACTCTTAGCGCTCCAGGCGTTATTTAATTAGTAATTAAGCAACATACACGTGTGCTGTTAATTACTATTGTTGTTTTACCTTGATCCTAAGCGCGTCTTTAAATTTATTAATATTATTCCTAATTTAAATAACTTTGACTTCTAGAAGAACATCTTTGGTTTATTTTTTACGAAACGGTGTCTCTTAAATAGAAGGAACTGTTAGTAATTTCGTACGTTATACAATCACACAGATGAATATCTTTTATGTATTTATTGTTCTACGTATAGGTATTGAATTCTATACGTAAATTCTTTATTTTTCTTTAATTATTGTACAAGTAATCTGCTTCATATAAACAGGGAAGTTTATCACCAGTAGAAGATTAAAGCCTCCATTGAAATTGAGATCCAATATACATATAAAGGATTTACGAGCGATTTTATCATCCCAATACGCTGCGAACTCGAGGTGGCCTAATAAAATCAACAATAAACATCGGATAACAACGGTCTACAAATTATGACAATTGGATAGGATTATGACAGCGACATAATTTTCTTTTACGTTACGAGTTGGCAATCACTTTTTATTCACGCAAGTAGGAATTAGGGTTTTCAATTCGATCAATAAATTTGGAATTTAAAAAAATGGGTAAAGCGTAGAAAGGTATTCTTAGTGCAAACGGTATATAAGGGTTACTTTTGTGCATAAATCCTACAACATCTATACTAATATATAAAGCTTAGGTTTGTTTGTTTGAATGCGCTACTCTCAGAAACTATTGGTTCGAATTGAAAAAAATATTTTTGTGTTGGGGGGGGGGGGGGGGGGGGGTTTGCAAAAACAAATTTGGATGCCCAAAATAACTATTCTACGCGGACGAAGTCGCTGTTACAGCTGGTATCTTATATATAATAACTTAATGTCTGCCTTTGAGATGTATTCAAAATGTAAAATACCGCTTTCAAGTGGGGCATGGGACATACACATTCGTCTCTATGTTCCTATAATTACGAGTATAAAGTGCATAAAAAACAAAGAGAAGATTAAATTTGGAACAGGATTCATATGAATCGTATTCCAAATTTAATTTAATAGGGTTTTTATCTTTCAGCTTGACGTATTTTCATGTATCTTCTTAATATCTAGTTCCCAGTGTGTTGTCTCCCCCGTGACCACGGCTGCTGCAAAGCATCCGAAACGTTGGGACGAAGTTAAAAATAATTTTCAAATAAGTTTAACTAATATATCGCGTTTTAAACCGTTAAAGTGTTTTATTTGAATATAATTCCCATATAAAAATACAAATTTGTGTTGTAACAAACTATTATAGAACGGTTAAATGTCAACATAATTATATGTGCATTTGAAAATTTACTCAGAGTGAAAACTCAAAGATGAAAGCCACAGACCACGGAAAGCTAATTTGCATAAGTCTTGTGCTACATTCAATCAGACCGCTTGTACGCTGTTTATTTGCTTCTCTTTACTAATGGTAATGTTCTACTTTATAATGCTATGTGCTCCATTTCACCCACTTGGTGGTTCTCGCGGGAATGTTTTTTTCAGGCTTGTTTCCGAGGTTCATTTCATGGACGATGAAATTTTTCCGCCACTTTAAAATATATTTAAGGTGTGGCTATTCTGGCGTTGGATATTTGGAAATCAACAAACTGCAACCGTAACAACCACGCTTTCCATCAGTGGACGATGGTCGGCCTCTGGTAGTTATTGCAATACATCGCTACCGTTAGATCACTATAGTGTGTTTAAACTATACAGTTTTATTTCAAAGAATAAAAAAAATAGGAATCGTCTATAGGAAAAGTTTTTGTGTATATAATAGTACATTATGATATAAGTGCTGTAAGTTGAAAATTATAACCGAGGCGATATTACTATATTTGTAATATATTGTATATTGTAGTTTTCAAAGCCACTATGTCATACGATGTTTTATGACATATTTACGAGGAAATTAATAAAACTCTAACTTTTTAAACGAATAAATCTTTAATTAATAGTTAAAGCAGTTATAAAAATTTGAACAATTTTTAAAAGTGATTGTTACGTTGCCAGAATTGAATGTTTATTTGTTATATTTTATTTCCCAAGGTTAATTTTATTCATAAAATATTTACCACTTTCTTGACATAAAACCTCTTTGTTAAGATTTTTAACAGTATCATTCATTTTTAGACGGAGTATCTTAAAACTTTATTTAAAAAAACACGTGCCTTTTACATTACATTATCGCACAAGTACGTAATGAGATACATTACGATATTGAAATTGGTGTAATTACAACCAGTTTACCTTTTTTAATATTGGACGTATGTTCAGAAAGATCAAAGCTAAAATAAAGGTAGACAACGCATCTTGATTTTATAACGCCGGAGAAATGCATCTTCCATTAAGTGAAACCCACGTCACCCTATTGTTTTCATAAAAACGAAAAAAAAAAAAAACATGAATTTAAATTAAACACTTTAAAGGTTTAAAACGCAATAAATATTTTGTTTGTCTCCCCGTGACAACGGTCGCTACAAAGCATTCGAAACGTCGAGCCGTAGTGAAGAATATTTTTCAAATAAGTTTGACTAAGTGTTTTAATTAAATGTGTAAACTGCACACAGTATCAAACCATGAAAGACAAAAATATAGCAAGCTCTTCGGATTTACGAATTTTATTTTTATTGGCCCTGTTATTTTAATGTCTTGCGCGATTCCCATAAAAAAAAACACTATGCAAAATAATGTAAGTAAAAATGTCAATTGCCCAATTATTCTCACATTTTATTCTAAACATCGTTAAAATATGATCTACGAGTTATAATAATAATAATTATCATTCACAAATATAACGGAACAACTAGATTAATCATCGTTTCCTTCAGAATCGTTATCACTTGAATTTTGAACTAGAGAGTATCGTGTTTTGCAAATAATAATTTATGCCGGACGGTCCCAACATTTAGCACCCTATAAATATCTTCGGTGTCAAATAAGGCCGATGTGAATAGATTTATTGCTCTACTGAGACCATTACTGAATACTTCGAATACTTGAAGTTTCTTAAATACTGTAATTGGAATAACAAAAGTTTACTTGTTAAATATAATTTGTCTTCATTACCCAAACCAGCGCCGCTGTTACTTAAAGGCGTTACATATAACAAGTTTTTGTAGAGAAATGCAAGATTGTATTATGTGTGAAAGGTCCTGGGTTCGAAGACTGCGAAAATTTTTTTTTTCAAAATTGGATATTTCGCCAAGTACTTGCCCGTATATAAAACAGGTAATTGAAATGTACACAATGTCTACCGCATGCCCTAATAGGGGTAATTTTTGTTATTATAATTTAAC